CCTGCAACCATGGTTTTTGCACGGTTTTTGCAGTCCAAAGCTGTCGCTGCTGCACTACTCTTGCCTTGTCGCTCGTGAAAATGCGTTTCACGAGCAAGCTGTCAGGGCACCGTCGGCCGAAGACTTCTAGAGAGCGCTCTTGCACACCCACCTGCAACCACGGTTTTTGCAAGGGTGGTCGGATAGTTTCTCGAAAGGGTGCAGGATTTCTAGAGCGAGCCTGGGTCTGGATGGACAAACCAGGCTGCACTGCAATCCACGATTTCTTGCAAGAGCGTGAGAAGAGTGCTTCATGGTCGGGACGATCTAGAGTAGAGTAAGTGCAGCCACGCCCGAACTCTAGGCCATTTCGGGACTCTGACAACTCATGACACGCTCTTGAAAATTTTCAGGAGTCCTAAGTAGTGCAGCGAGACCCTTTGGGTCGAAACCGTGAATGTCGAAAATGGTCTGACAGCTGGCGAATATTTCATTGTTTCGACACTGGTGTGGCGAGGCCCTGAGTCCTTTGGAAACATCCGAAATGGTCCAAATTGGAGCGATACAGAGAAGGGGCCTCGCTGCACTACTCTCGAAATGTGCAAAACGAGAGTGAATCTTCTGCTAGAACATGGAAAGATACACGGCCATGATTTTTGTCTTTTGTGCATTTCAAGAGTAGTGCAGCGACGCCCAAGATTGATTAGCATGGCCCCTGCGCAATGATGAGTCAGACACGCATAAATCAAGAAATGGTCCAAATTAAAAAAAAAAGAAAAAAAAGAAACAGAATTTATGAAAGGTCCAGAATAGCCATAGATGTGAAAATCCAGCAGTCCCACTAGAGTAGATGGGGCACGTGGGTGTGTGTGAGTGTGTGAGTGTGTGAGTGTGTGAGTGTGTGTGTGAGAAAAAGAACAGCCGCACAAGTAGGTCGAGACTAGAAATAGGGCCTTGCCCCACTACTCACCACATGCACGAAGGACAAAAAACATATATGGCCGTGTATCTTTTCTATGTTCCGGTGGAAGATTCATTCTTATTTTGCACCTTTGGTGAGTAGCAAAGAGAGGCCCATAGAAATGCAATTTCTTGATTTATGCGTATCATCCTCTTGCGCAGGGGTCATATTCTCATGTTAAAAAAAAAAAAAAAAAAAAAAAAAAAAAAAAAAAAAAAACCCTTCACTTCTCTGTATGGTTCCAATTTTAACGGATGTCTAGAAGGACATACAGAAATGCGATTGCCGCCACAAGGTTGTGATTTCAGCCTTCTTCCAAAAAACAATGGGCCTAGCTCAGTTGGTACACTCTTCCTCCTCCGCCCTCTTTTTTTTTTTTTCAGGTACTCTTATGGACTGTTGAAATACAGACGTGAGCTCGAACCCAGATGGAACTACAGTCTTCCCCCGAATACGATCATAATTTACCCCCGAATACAACGTACGGTCATTATAGCTGAATTTGGGGTATCTTTCAGTCTTAATTCAGCTATAATAATGACCGTACGTTGTATTCGGGGGAAGACTGTAGTTGAGAGGATTTCTGAATTAACCTTAGGATGGAACTAGTTGAATGAATTTCTGAATTACCTTAGGCCGGTCAGTTACCACTGTTGAAATCGAAAAAGTAGGAGTGCACCTTCCTCAGAAAGTGGCAAAATGCATCTGTTGCTATTCATAGTAACGGATGCATCTGGTCACACACCGTGGGAACATGCATTTGTACTTTTGCGGTTCGACAGTGGTGTGGCGAGGCCCTTACATATGATGATGGGCCTCGCTGCACTACTCTTGAATCTCTCTCGAATCTTCGAGAGTGGGTCATCGCTGCACTGCACTTACTCTCGATCGGGAAACTCTCGGAACCCGATCGAGAGCTGTCAGAAGGCACTCTATAATGCAACTCTCGAAACGTCGAGAGTCCCCCACCTGCAAAAACTGAATTTGCATGTGTCCTCGGGAGTTGCCCGCCGACAGGCTCGTTTTTCGAGAGTGGACCTCCTGTCCCTACGGCCACAGACTGTCCCGTAGCGCAGTGGTGCAGCTCTTCTGTCGAGTAGGACGCCGCCCAGGGTTTCGAGAGTTCACCTAGTGTAATAGGTTATAGAGTAAGTGCAGCGAAGGCGGGTATTTCCGCCTCTCTGACAATGCCAGTCGAACTCTCGAAATAACTCTCGAAATATTTCGAGAGTCTAGAGTAGTGCAGCGAGGCCCGATATCTCAAGGCCAAGGGGAACAAACGAACAGCAATTCCCCTCTCCCCCCCTCCCCGGCCCCCGCCAAAGAAACAGAAAAGCAAAAATGACAAAAGGGCGACTGCCACGTCGGTTCTGCGGCTCGTTTGCTGTGGACCACGAAAACGAAAATACGGATAACTCTTGAAATAACTCTCGAAATATTTCGAGAGTCTAGAGTAGTGCAGCGAGGCCCGATATCTCAAGGCCAAGGGGAAAAAACGAACAGCAATTCCCCTCTCCCCCCCTCCCCGGCCCCCSCCAAAGAAACAAAAAARCAAAAATGACAAAAGGGTGACTGCCACGTCGGTTCTGCGTCTCGTTTGCTGTGGACCACGAAAACGAAAATACGGACAACTCTCGAAATAACTCTCGAAATATTTCGAGAGTCTAGAGTAGTGCAGCGAGGCCCGATATCTCAAGGCCAAGGGGAAAAAACGAACAGCAATTCCCCTCTCCCCCCCTCCCCGGCCCCCACCAAAGAAACAGAAAAACAAAAATGACAAAAGGGCGACTGCCACGTCGGTTCTGCGGCTCGATTGCTGTGGACCACGAAAACGAAAATACGGATAAGGTTGGGGAAGAAAAAACGAAAAACGGACAATAAAAACGGATAAGGTCTGGGATGTTTTTCGCAGCCTCGACCCGCCAGCCAGCGGGGACAAGCCCCACAAGCGGCCCAGGGAAAAAAACAAAGAGCGAAAGGGCCTCGCTCCACTACGCAAATGTTAAAAAAATAGGAAAAAAAATAAAAATAAAAAAATCGGCATGTATACAGTCGAACCACATGGACCCTGTATGTTACGGACTAATCATTGCATTTTGGATGTATAAGGACCATTTCTTAGCCCAAGACACGGTTTTAGAACTGTGTGTGGTGTAGCGAGGCTCAAAGTCCCATTAGCGGCCCGATCTAAAAAAAAGTCGACGATTGGTCGTTGTGAGCTGGCCAATCTCAAAATTCCACGTACTTAAGAAAAAAGAAATAAAAATAAAATTCAACGGCCAAAAACCAAAAAAAAAAACAAAAAGGAAAAAGGGAAAAGGAAAAGCTCTTAGTTATAGCCATCCTTTTGCCACGTCAGAAAATTCACGAAAGCTACTTGATCGAGCTGCACCCCCTTCTTTCCCCAAATGACTCTATCTGGACCAGTGT